CCCCCCCCCCGCGCGGTCCCTCACCTGCGGCCCCAGGGTGGGGGTGAAGGGACCGGCACGGCCCGGCTCCCGGCCGGGGGGCGGGGACGCGGCCTGGGCCCCCCACCCCCCGCCCCCCGACCAGCCCCGGCTCCAGTCCCGGCGGGGGTGGGGCGTCGAAGGCGGCCCCGGCGGCGGGGGGAGGTTCGCACAGGCCGGGCCGCTCCGCTCCGACCAGCTCCGGGCCGCGCAGCGGGGCTCCCCGACCCCTCTCGTCCGCTAGCCCGGCCGACGGCCGCCCACCCGCCCGGCCGCTCGCTTGCTCCGTCGCCGGTTGCTCGCGCCCCAGCCCAACGGCCGGCCGCCAGGGGGAGGCCGCGAGGCTGGAGCTCGGGGAACCCGGGAGCCGGGAAGGAGGGGCGAGAGAGGGCTCCGCCCCCGGGCCGCTCGGTGCGCCTGCGCCCCCGCCCGCCGGTCGCTTCGCGCCTGCGCCCAAGGAAAGAGAGAGGGGGAGGAGGGGAGACAGGGGGGGGGAGGGAGACGCACCGAGCGAACGAACGCCCTCCGGGGAGACCCAGGGGGCCCGAGCGCCAGGACCGACCCGGTCTGCGGGGTCTGGGGGGTTCGAGCTGGGTTCCATCAGGCGCGCGCGAGCGTCGACTCCGGGGAAAGAGCGCCGACGCAACAGAAGCCAGGCGTTCGGTGCGCACGCGCACCCGCTCGCGCCCATCCCCCCCCAGTGCAGTTTAGGACCCGCCCGCCCGTGCCCCCCCCTCCCCCCCCCCCCCCCGCCGCCCCAGGTGCGCGATATGGAGGGATTGACACGCGGCCCCCCGACGGGCTTGGGGGCATTTATAGGAAACTGATCCCCCCGAAGTTAGCCGGGCGGGAGACGTAGGATCCTCGTCGGATCTCCCGCACCCCGCCCCCTCTTCTCCCTCCTTCCTTTGCCCGCTTATCCCTTTCCCCGTGCCCATTATCTACCCTCGTTCTCCCTTCTCCCCCTCCATGTCGTCCTTCTCCCTCCTTTTCCTCTCCACTTTTTCCTTTGCCTCCGTACTCCACTTTCCCCCCTTCTCTCGCCTTCCCATGCCACCTCTTCTCATCCCTCCTCTCTTCTTCTCATCCCTCCTTTCCCCTTTCCTCTTCTCCCTCCATCCCTCCTCTAGCACCCCTCCACGTCTTTCCCCACTCCCCTCACTCCTCTCCTCCATGCATCCCTCCGCTTTCCTCTTCTCCCTCCATCCCTCCTCTCGGGTCCTCCACCTCTTTCCCCTCCTCTTCCCCTCCCCCTTCCTCTTCTCCTCCACCTCTTTCCCCTTCTCTCCCCTTCCCCTCCCTCCGTCCCTCCTCTCGAGCCCCTCCACCTCTTCCCCCTACTCTTCCCCAACTATCCGTCCTCTCCCCCGTCCTCTTCTCCCTCCATCCCTCCTCTCGACCTCTTTCCCTTCGTTTCCTCTCCCGCACCAGCCAGCTTCGCGGGGGACACAAGCCCACCCTACCTACGGTACAGCGTGGCTCGAGGACATCGAAGTCGTCGCGTGGCCGGCCTGAGACCCTGGGGTGCGCGCGCGCGCGCCCGCGCGCGCCTGGCAGCTTACAGCGAATCCGGAGAGGGACGGGCCAGGGGAGGAGGCGGGGCGACTGGAAAGGGGCGGGGCGACGGAGCCTGCGAAGTTGCCTAGGACACGCCCGGGGCGGGGCGGGGCGGGGCGTTCCACCCCGGCACGTGCTGGGCGCGTGCCGCCGCCGCCGCCGCCGCCGCCGCCGCCGCCGCCGCTCCCGCTGCGCCGGCCGGTGACGTGAAGGCGCCGCCGCTGCTGCCTCTGCTTCCGTGGCTGCCGCCAGGTACTAGTGGTGCGGCCCCGTGCGAGCGCCGCCCCGGCGTCCGGCTCCTTTCACCTGATTGGAGCGAGGCGGCTCGGAACGCGGGAGACGCCGCTGACGCCAGCAGCCTGCGAGAACAATGGGCGATTGCGGGGGGGGCGGGGGGCGGATTAGGGGAGGAAGGCAAAGAAAGGCCTTCCCTTCGCGGCGCCCGGGCCTACCCCTGTTACCTAGGCAACGAGGGAGCTTCCCTCCCCCCACCCCCAGCCGGGGGGCAGCCTTTCGGCAGCTCACTCCGCGTTACTTCAAGGTGCCGCTTGGCCCCTCCGCGCAGTCCAGCGCAGTTTGTCAACCCAGCTCGCTTCATCTCCTCCTCCAGGCGAACCTGCCTTCCCGAGTTCTGTACTCGAGCCCCACAATTTCCCTCCTCTTAATTAGAGTCGCTTCCCACAAGTAAACCATCACCACCCAAGTCAGGAACCCTCCATGGCTCCCTACTGTCCATTGGACCAAGCAGAACCTTTGTTTCTGCTTGGCATTCACGGCCCCTCCGGGGTGGAGATCTAACCCTGACTCTTCTTTGTCTCTGCCTGCCGGTAGTTACTTGTGGTTCAAATACTTTGCACTGAACACCTCCAGAACCTGGATCCTTTTCTGTCACCACACTTTGCTTCCTCCGGGACCTGTCCCACACCTTGGATTATGATCAAACGGTATGCTGGTACAGCATTTCCTGAATTCACATGGCTCTGATTGGAACCATGGTCCAGACTTGGGCATCGGTCCAAAGTCCAGTGACCTATATTTCAAGGCCCAATTCACCTTAACACACAATTTATTAAGTCCCTGCTATGTACCAGGCATTTCAATCCCTGTCTCAAACACATCTTGAGATCATTAAGAGATCTGTGTGGTGTAAGTAGTAGATAGGGAACTGACCTGGGAGTCAGAAAGACTTGCACTCAAATACAGCCTCTGGAAACACTTTGGGCAAGTCACTTAACCCCTCAGAGCCCCTCCACAACCCTCTGAAAACCATAGGCAAGTGACTGAGCAGTTGCTAATCTACATTAGTGAAAGGTGTGTCCTCATGGGAATCTCCATATACCAAGGAAATCACAAGTCAGCTTCCCCCCATTAGAATCATTAGGGTTGCTAATTACTCTTCTTTGGCCTCTGACTAATTGAATTGGTCAGCTAATTTAATGCTGACTTATCTTTCCTACTAGACTGCATTGCCCCTGGACAGGGAGCGGGTATTTCTTTAAAGTAGTAGCACTGTGCTGTGGAGGAGGCCTAGAACTACAACCAGGAGCCATGAGTTCAAATTCCAGTTCAGCCTCTTGCCTAGCAACAGGACTTAGAGCAAGTCAGTTCCTCTTGCTGGACAAAATGGCGGTACTACTCTACCATTCCCCACTTCAATTCTGACAGTGCTAAGGACAAGGGAGCTGCTGCTGCTGCTGGTATTAGTAGTAGTAGTAGTAGTGGTGGTGGTGGTGGTAGTAGTAGCAGTAGCATTTTTCCTCATCTGGATTCAAATCCTAGCTCCAGTCCTCACTAAATGTGTGATCTTAGACAGAGAGTTCCCTTTTCTGGGCCCCAGTTTGTTTGTTTTTTTAGCCCCTCCCAAACCTAGATCCCTGTTCATGTGAACAAGTGTAGGGCCCTGACATACGAATGGTGCCCACTCCCCCCCAACTTGAGGCCTCATCTAGAGTCTGTCCAAGGATCCCCCAGCTTGAAGGTGCACCCATCAGGCCATGAAAAGACTCCCTGTTCTGGAATGTCCTCAGAGGGATCTTCTAGACTCTGTAGTCCAATCTGCCATTCCTGTCCAGGAAAATGCGGGGAGGCATTGTACAGTAAGGCAGCCAGAATTTCCTTCGAATCAACACGGACACAAAGAGAAACTTCGTGCCCCAGAATGAGCCCCCCCCCCCTAAAAAATCTCTCTTGGGCTGTGTCATTCCCTTTTTCTGTCCCTTGCTCCATTAAATGTCATGAAGCAAACATCTACCCCCTGCTGTGTGTGAGGCTTTGTGTCAGAGCAGAATTTTCTGACCCGCCTCCCCTACTCTACAATGGGGGGGGGTGGGGCAGATCCCTTGGAGCTCCTTCTCTACAACTCTGACCTCCAGTTCTAAGAGAAGGTCCTTAGGCAAGCGTGGGAGGCTTACACTTTTTCTTTGTTTCCCTTTTGAGAAGTTTCCAGAGCTTCTCTGGAACCCTGAAGGGGGTGGGGAAGTAGGAGAGTAGGGTAATTTAACAGCAGTATTTCTAAACATGTTTTCTAACCCTACTGCTGGCCATGATCTTCCCTCATTCAATCCCCCCATCACCAATTGACTATTGGATATTTCAGACTGAATGTCCCAGAGACATCTCTAATTTAACACGTCTAAAACTGAACTGGTCTTTCCTCATAAACCCTTATCTCTCCCCAACCTCCCAGTTTCTGTGGAAGGCACATTGTTCTAGTCCTCTGGGTTCATAACCTGGGCATTCATCACTCTCCCTGAGCCCACATATTCAATCTGTTGCCAAATCTTGCCATTTCTACCCCAAGACATCTCTCCCATCCACCCCTTCTCTTGACTTACACAGCTACCACCAGCCTGGTTCGGTCCTTCATCACTTCACCTGACTGGCCTCTCTGCTTCCAGTCCATCCTCCAAGCTGCAGCTAAAGTCATTGCCCTTAGATCTGACCCTGTGACACTCCAGTGGGTGTGATCCATTTACCTTTCCTGGAACAAAGCAAAGTCATCAGACTTTCAAGCTAGAAGGAATCTTGAAGATCATGAAATTGAAACTTCATTTGACAGAAAGAAGGAAAACTGAGGTCCCAGATGTGTAGAGAGTAGCCCAAGTCCACATCCCAGAGTAAAACAGAGATAGTGGGTAAAGTTCCAGAGCTGAAAGTGACCTCAGTCCCCTAGTCTGACCCACTCATTTTGCAAGGGAAACTGGTTAGCATTGAAGAAAGTCAGAAAGGACTGCTTCCAAAGAAGAAATTGAGGCTCGGAGAAGGGCAATGCCAATGGGGCACAGGGCCTTGTATGGATGTATTTCTATGCCCTGTGTGCATTTCTGTCAAATGAGATCTTATTTGTACAAAGCAGTTAGCAGTGTTTCATGCATAGTAGGCATTATATAAATGCTTCTTCCCTTCCCTTATCCTTATATATGGGGGGGGGGTGTCAATGTTTATTTAATGACACAATGGAGAGAGAGACAGAAAGACAGAAAAAGGGAAAGAGAGAAGTGGAAAGAGGGACCCATACCCACCCACCCACCTACAGGCATACAGAAACACACACAAACATAGAACAGAGAGGGGGTTGGGGAGAGAAAACATAAGGGGGAGAGGGAGGAGAAAGAGAAGGAAGGATAGAGAGAAGGAGCAGAGACAGAAATGGGCAGAAAGGACTGAGTTGAACAGAGGGAAGGAGGGACAGATAAGGATACACATAGATAGGACAGAGACAGAGAGAGACACAGATGAGTCTACATAGAGTGTGATAGCGAGAGAAAGAAAACTCAGAGAGATAGACAAATTACCAGATAGGGGTGGACCACCGGAACACACAAGACAGAGTCTCTCAGTGAGGCCAAATAAATAGAGGTTCTTCTGCCCATTTGAATGCCTACATTTGGCGGCAAACAATTCTCCAAATGAGCGATTTAAGGGTAAATCTGTGGCAACTGTTGGAGAGAAAAAAAAAGATCAGGAGCCCAGAAACAACACATATGTTATTCAAATGAGATAATAAATCTCAGGGAATTCTTTGAAGGTGGCTAAAGCTGCCTCAGATTTGGGCAATCTCCAAATCTATTTGCGGTGGGGAAGGGGTGTGCAGCCTCCTAGATGGTGCCCCACCTTGCCCCTTTGAGAAAAGTATCAGCCCCTTTCTGCCAGGCAGTGCTGGTCAGTTTTTACTCACATCTCAGGGGTAGAGACTCCAAGGCAGGGATTGGTAGCCAAGCTAGGCATTACCCTTGTCTCCCCTCCTGAGCTTTGGGATCTGACATCCTCTGTTTGGGGATGGGGGAGGGTTTGTCAGCTAGCTGTGGAATGTAAGACAAACAACTCATGGGGAAGCCATTACGCCTGGCTAGGCTGCAGATTTTGTTTGGTATGGGCACAGGTGTCCAAGGGAGTGCTCTCATTCTCAAGATGGCTTGACCATCAGCTTATGCAGGCCAGGCCTCATGGCAAAACGAAGGACAAAGGTGCCAGGCATTGTTGTGCTTGGTCTAAATTGCTGAGTTAGCTCTTTGAATTCCCCTGAGTCAGTCTCCAGACTCGAAAGCATGCAGAAGACAGAGTGGTCAGGTTGACCTTCTGGGCTTCCTGTTCAGTACTTTTTATTGGTGGTGTCCGCCATCGATGAGATAGGCCAGCAGGCAATTACTGGTGGGGGTGGGGAACTAGAGTAGACCCTAATTTAAAGGGACAGACAGAAACACACCTCGAGGGAATGATGGAAAGGGACAAATACAAAGACCTAGTTATGGAAGGAAAGAGATAGTCAGAAATGGCCTGGGGAGGGGCACGGAAAGATGAAATCAGTCAATTGGTCAGTAAATATTTATGAAGTGCCTACTATGTGCCAGGCACTATGCTAAGCACTAGGGATACCAAAAGAGGCAAAACGGGTCTCTGCTCTCTAAGAGCTCCAGTCTAATGGGGGAGACAACAAAGCTATATATAAACTATACAAACAAGCTACAGGAATAAATAGAAAAGAATTAAGAGAGAGAAGACCCCTAGAATTCAAAGGGGTTGGGAGAGGCTTCCTGAAGAAAATGAGATTTGTCTGGGACTTCAAGGAAACCAGGGAAGACAGTGGCTGGAGATGAGGAGAGAGAGTATTCCAGGCTTGGGGACAGCTAGAGAAAATGCCCAGAGCTGAAAGATGGAATGTCTGCTTTGAGGAACAGCCAGGAGCCCAATGTCACTGGAAGAGGTGCATGTGTATGTCAGGGAGTCCAGTGTAAGAAGACTAGAAAGGCAGGAGGGGGCAGGGTATGAAAGGCTGGAAAGCCAAACCGAGCATTTTGTATGTGATCCTGGAGGCCGAAGGGAGCCACTGAAGTTTATTTTGTAGGGGACGGGGCACCTGCACTTTAGGAAGATCGCTCTGACAGCTGAATGGAAGATGGACTGCAGCGGGAGAGACCTGAGGCAGGCAGACTCTCGGTCAGCTATTACAATAGTCCAGGTGTGAGGCCAGGGGGACAAGACCAAGGTGGGGGCAGGGTCAGAGTGGAGAGATGCTTCAAAGGTAAAACTGACACGCTTTGGCAACAGGTTGGATATGGTGATGAGGGAGAATGGAATACAGGCTGAGACCCGGGCTGTCAGCCTGTAAGACTGGGAGGATGGCGTTGCCCTCCACGGTAATAGGGAAGGTGGGATGAGCAGATTAAGGGAAAGGGAAGGAGTTCCATTTTGCTCATATTCAAGATGCCTACTGGACATCCAGTTCAAGATGTCTGAAAGGCAGTTGGAGATGGGAGATTGGAGGTCAGCAGAGAGGCTGGGGCAGGACAGGTAGGTCTGAGAATCAACCATTAGCATAGAGATGGTCATTCAATTCATGGGAGTTGATGAGCTCAGAGGAGGTAGAGCAGAGGGCCAGGGACAGAGCCCAGCGACCCCCTACAGTTAGAGGGCGAGATCAGGAGGGGAGGTCAGAGAGGGAGGAGGGGAGCCAGGACGGAAACCTCGAGAGAAGAGTGGATCAGGGAGCAGAGAGTGCCCAACAACAGCGTCCAAGGCTGCTGAGGACTGAGATCAGGCCATGGGATTTGGCAACTAAGAGATCCTTGGTAACTGGAGAGGGCAGTTTTGGTGGAACGACAGCCGGATCGTAAGGAGTAGAGAAGTGAGACATAGAGCTATCTACTGTGGGCGGCCTTTTTCTAGGAGTTTCGACACAAAGGGCAGAAGGTCAATAGTAAGACTGTGGAAGGAAGAGACTGCCAAGAGACAGAGACAGGGAAAAGGAAAAGGAGAGACACGTGGGGACAGAGAGCCAGAGAAAGGGACCGCGATCCACAGAGAAAGAGACCCGCAGATTAAGGGGAAGATGGGACGAGAGTGTAAGATGCCCAGAAGCAGAGCCCGACACGCTAGGCAAGCCCGAGGCAGAGAAGCCACAGAGCCGCACTCAGAGGGTGGCGGGGAGGGCAGCCATCACCTAGTGACTCTTGAGCCTGGGCCCAGAATGCTCTGCAGGGAGCCTTTCCCGATTCCTCGCCCCCGCTGCTTTACTCCCTTTTCTCTGGCAGGCGCTCGCAGCGCTTTGTCTCCCCCGTGAGACTGGGAGCTCCTTGAGGGCAGGGCCCAGCTCCTGCCCTTCTTTCTATCCCCGGAGTTTAACCCGGCACGCAGTAGGCGCTTAATCAACGCTTTTATTGCCTGACTGCATGCAAGCGAGAGAACGCCAGGAAGACCCCCAGAAAAAGAGCCTGGGAGGGTCTCGTCGGCTCGGGTCTGACCGGCTCGGATCGGATCAGATCAGGAGGGGCGGGGGAGGAGCAGTAGCCACGGTCCCGGAGAGAAACGACGGCAAAGGACCAGTCCCGCATGCGCGCGCAGGCGCTGGGGGGGCGTGGGCTCCGTCGGAGGGGCGGGGACGGGCTGGGATTGGCCGCCCGTCCGCGACCAGCCCTGCGCATGCGTGCTGTACAGGTGTCGATTTCTTGTGCCTGGCGGCGGCGGCGGAGTCAGAGATGGCGGCCTCCACGGAGCAGGCGTGGGCCTTGTTTGGCGCCGGCGTTCGGGCGGTGCTCGAGGCCTGGCCGGCGCTGCAGGTGAGTGCGCCAGAGCCGGGGGGGAGCTTCGAGCATCTTTCTGCCTCAGACTGAGAAACTGAGGCGGCTCCGAGCCGGGAGCGGGGAGGGAGCGAGCGGGACCCGGAAGTGGGGGGGAGCGACGGGAGGAGGTGGGGAGCGGGGCAAGGGGAGTCATGCCCCTGGCGACTTGGCAGTGTCTCCTCTCCCAGATCGCCGTGGAGAACAGCTTCGGGGGAGTGCACAGCCGAGAGAAGGCCCTGTGGCTCGGGGGGGCTGTCCGCGATTATTTTGTCCAGAACGGTGAGTGAAGCACCAGTAGGGGGCGGGATTCCAGAGCGCCTCGGCAGGCCCTAATTGGCGCCCTTGGGATCCATCCTTTCCCAGCCGACCTGGAGCAGGATGAGGTGGAAGACTTCCTGGCTGACATCATGAGCACCGAATTTGACACCCTGGTAGAAGATGGAAGCCTGCCCCAGGTCAGCCAGATTCTGTGTCTGCCTAAAGGCCAGCCCTCTCCATGTCAGGCCCTCCCGGCCCTAGCCTCCCCGCTGTTTTAGGGTAACTAAAGCCTGGCCTCTCCATTCTCAAGGCCCCACTCTAGACCCTCTTCCGGTTCTGTTGGAACAGCGACTTGAGAATTTTTCCTGCCTCCAGGGTCTCCCCGTATTTCCCATCCATCCTCAACAAAGCTTCCCTAGTAAAATCCTCTCCGTTCAACCTTTGAGGCCTCTCTGCCCTCAAGCCTAGACCACCCCTTCTAGCATATTCCCTGATCTCCATCTCCTCACCCACCCCCCCCCAACAAACATTCAAAACCAGTTTCCTTCATATTGGGCAGCTTCCCTGTTACTTCACAGGCTGATTAGGAAGGCTACCTTCCTAACTCTAAATGTCATATCTTCTTCCTTTCATCTCTCCCCTGGCCTGTGACCATAAATGAGGACTCACAGTATACCTGTGGTGGGGGGGGGGGGGGGGTGTCTACCAGGTAAGCCAACAGCTCCGGACAATGTTCAGATACTGCCAGAGTGGTGAGGAACTTTTGCTGAGAGAGTTCATCGCTCAGATGGGCCAGAAGCAGATGGAGGTCAAAGCCATGAAGGTCCAGACAGTCGAGCAGACCAATGACAACGACCCGGGCCAGGAGGAAAAAATAGATGGGGGAACAGAGGAAATGGAGGTGAGGAGGAGGGGACTGACTAGGCCAGAAGCAGGGGGATACCTCTCCTCAACCTGATCATAAAATTCCTAACATTTCTTACTCACTTGGGCCTATCATTCTAGTCTGCCCGGATCTTTTGGATCCTGACTCCCTCCCAAATTGGTCATCTGCAGTTTTGATAAGCGTACAATTCCCTGGTGCTCAGTTTTCTTTTCTGTGAAATAAGGGATTTGTCTAGATGATTTATAAGGATCCTTCTAGCTCATAGACCAGTGGTGCAAGGTCAGCTGAAAATGGATCCCTGCCACAGATTGAAAAAACTTCAAATTAACATTAGCTGCATTACATTGTATTTTTTACTTGTTAAACATTTTTTCGATTACAATTTAATCTGGTTCTGGGTAAGCTGGATGCCTCTGATGTAGACAGAACGTGGAGAAACATATTAAGCCAGCACCAGGGCAAGGGTGAATTCCTGGGACGTTCTTAAGAATCTCCCTCCACCAGGTTGACTAGAACTAACAATAACTAGCATTTATATAATGGTTTAAGGTGTGCAAAGCACTTTGTGGATGTTACCTCACAATCACTCAGTGTGGTAGGTGCTATTACTGTCCCAGTATTATAGGTAAGGAAACTGAGGGCTGAGAGGCGGTGACATAAGTGTTTGAGGTGGCATATGAACTCTGCCCTTCCTGGCCCAAAGCTCATTCCACATTCCCTGCTTATCAATGCGTTATTGATGATTGCTTTGTGAATCCATTCATTGAACCATTTCTAAATTCACCTAGCTGTCCTGTCATCCAGCGAGCATTGCTCCGTCTCTTCTGCAAGAATAGTATTTGGTTGAATGCTTTCAGAAAATCTCAGGAAACTCAATTCCTGTGATCTAGCAGTTTAGTAACCCTGGCAGAAAAGCAATGAGGATATCTAGTCGTGACCTCTTATTTATGTTAAACATCTAGAAGAAAGCTTGGACTGACCTTTGTGTGCTCTTAAGTTTGCATTGCTGCTTTCTTGAGATACTGTCGACTCCGGGGAAAGAGCGCCGACGCCACAGAAGCCAGGCGTCTGAAGTGTCACTTCAGGCTCTCAGGGACGACTAAGCTTTTAGTACTCTTGGTAGGGGTTTGTTCACTGCTCCCTTGCTCTGAGTTGTACAAGTTCTTGACCTGGGTTTGGTGGGTCTGAGCAACACACCTGTGGGCTTGACCCAGATTGGCGTTCTAGTAGACTGCTGCTGGACTCCAGCTGTCAAGCTAGCTGGAAAGCTCACCTTTAGTCTGGGATTCCTGTCCTGGTTATTCCCCTGCAGGCTTCAGATTGTGCTACTGGGGGTCATTGCCCACACAGCTGCAGCTCACTTCTGTAGTTGGCTTCTTTCCTGGGATGCATTCAGGGGCCCAGGACCACTCTTATCCTGGAATGGCCCCCTAGCCATAGGTCTTCTCATGCCATCCTGCATTTATGACCTGGAATTGGGTAGTACACTACCCAATTCAGTGGGCACCTGTTGCTGCATTCTGCAGGAGGTCAGGCCCCCCTCTATTTGAGTCTAGGGCACAGCCTTGATCCTGCCCTGGAAAGCTCTGTGAGGCACACTTCTGACTAGCTGCCCCTCCTCCAGTGTCTGTGGACATCTCTTTCTCCATAGGCCAATCTGGACTGGGAAAAAAAAAAAAAATGACTTGCCATGATTTGTTTGTTTTTCGGCGTACCCAGTCTGGACTCAGATCTTTGTGCCATTGTAACTTGGCCTTTTCCTCTAGATTTTCAGTAGCGATAATAACTCTTTGAAGAAGTTCTACAATTTTGCCAGGAATTCAGCTCAAACTCATTAATTTGTTTGCAAACTCTGTTTTTTAGTTTCTTTAGAAAGTTGTGCCTTCTGCCAGTCTCCTGGTGCATCTGCCATTGTTCCAGATCAGCTTGTAGTCAACAGTTCATTGCCCTCCTTCATGGCCCAGCACAGATCTGATCTTAGCCATGTGAAGAAGCCTAGTTAGTATGAGCTCTGTTTGTCTTGGGCAGCCACTCCCTGTTAGCCATTTTGGTTCTGTGCTTTCCAGCCCAAACAGCATTTTATTTAGCTGAAGAAACAAACAAAATATGAACTGAGTTAAGTCCTGCCATCTTCCTGTCATCAGTTATTAGAGAGAGCATTGGGAAGACCCAAGTTCAAATCCAGCCTTAGACACTGGCTGGGCAAGTCACTCTTAACCACTGCTTGCCTGACTCAGATTCCTCAAATGTAAAAAATGGAGATAATAATAGCATCTACCTCACTGGGTTGTTGTGAGAATCAAACAAGATAGTTGTAAAATTTGCTTAGCACAGTGCTTGGCACACAGTAGGCCCTTAATAAATGCTTATTCCCTTATTGTGGCCCCATCAGATGCCTGAATTGTGGTTTTGCCTTCTCCTTACCAACCCCACCTTCCCTGCCCCCCCCCCATATCCTTTAATTTTCTCTCCTCTCTGACTCTTGCCAAGTCAGACTCGTTCTGAGCTTTTTTAAGACACTTAGAGCATTGCATGCTTTCGCATTCATCCTTCATCATTCTTGCCCTTGATGTTGTCCTATTTTTTATGTCATTTGATGAGTTCCTTGGGCCTCCACATCAGTCTCTTTAGAGATTTGTCCTTATTAGAGCTGTTTCTCTGTGTCATCTGATTCATTCTTGAGAATCCCATCTCTAAGAAGCAAATCTCTCCCCCCCCCCCCC